TTAGGATGAATTAGGCAGCAGGATTAGTTTCTGATGAGAGTGGTGTGGTGGGGTTTTCTTGGGGTTGAGAATAGGGTAATGGAATGAATTTGGGTTGGCGGTTGTGTGCAAAGACTTTAGAACCATGGAGCAAACTGTGATTTTACCCCGCTGCCCTGCCAATGGGCATAAATAGCACTGTGTGGGCAGAAATTTAATGATAGCTAGAAGATAGCAAATGGGTGTGTGTGAGATTTAGACACATGTAGCGAATAATCTTGACAATGTAACAGCAAGGTTAGAGCCTGAAATATCTCATGTTATCATGTATAGTTATTGTATTTAGTATGGATATGCAGTAAACTGTTCTATAGCGGTCTAACCTAACAATTTTGCCTTTTCGGTCAGTCTGTCTTGAATCCAAAACTCTCGGATGTGGACATAGAACCACACAACAAAAGATGGTGGCAGCAACCAGATCCACTGCCTAGAAAATCACGGCAATAGTGAAGATCAAGAAACAAAACTGAAATTGTTTAAAGAGAGAAGACCTCAAAAAATCACTTTTCTAAAAAAATCATCGCTACAGCTTTTAGACCGGCTAGCAGCCAGAAGGGCCATAGAACTAAACGGCTGCTGTGAAGAAAAAATCTCTGAACAGAAATCTCCTGCAGAGAAACAAGTGAGGACAACTGTAAGTTAATAAAAGCCTTTTACAGCCACTAATAAGGGGACAAATTTTTAAAGGAAAAGAAAAGCTGTGTCAGCAGTAAAAGCACAAAGCAGTGAAAGCAGTGAAGGGGATCAAGCACATATGAAAAGAAGCCAAAGCAAGTTTGATACCTTGGAGGAAAAACCCAAAACTACTTGGCTGAGAAGCAGAGTTAAGATTTCTGGCAGTCATTTAGCAGCTTCAGATCATTTATTTAATGGCAAAATTTATCAATATGCAAGTTAAGAAAACTCATCAGAGACAAGATGAAAGTGCATCATTTGAAAACATTGGGAATGAAAATCATGTTTTTTGGGTTAGAAGTTTCAACACCCCAACAGCAAAGTTAGTTAAATCTTTATTATTTTAATTGTCTGCATGAGAAACTAAAGTTTTTTGTTCAGCAACTAAGAAATTTTATTCATTTTAATTGTGAAAATACAGCATTTAAGACAAAGTGCATAAATCTTATCGTGGTGGTGAATTCAGCGCAAAAATAATATTTCAGTCATGGAAAAAATTGGCACAAATGACATTACTGCAGCCATCATTGGTGCAATTAAAAATCAATTAATCTTATTGATTGAAGGCATTTTGAGAAAGTTTCCACCCAAAAATCTTTTGAAAATCCTTCTGTCATCATAGCGAAGGAATATCTTCATACTAAAGGAAAGCCAAACCTTAGATTGAAAATAGCATTTAGGATAGCAGAATCTTCCAAACACACAGATACAGGGTTCAGTGGAGAGAATGTGGCTGTTGGATTAGTTTGAATTGAGAATGGGTCCATAGGATTGGTTTCTCATGAGATCACGGCTGTAAGATTGGCTTGGGATAAAAATTAGGCGGTGGGATTAGCTGGGGTGAGAGTGGCCCAGTGGGATTAGCTGGGGTGAGAGTGGCCCAGTGGGATTAGTTTGATATGAGAGTGGTATTCATTGGGATTAATTTGGCTCTGCTCCAGTGAAGAACTAGCACAAACAAGGTTTCCTCTTCTGGAAATCTTGGTTGTTTTATCAAAGTTGTTTAGATTTGAGATAACACAATGCTTGGTTGACTATAATTGTTTCTGTCAGGCACCATGGCCTAGCTATTAACAGCTTCACAGTAACCCTTGTTCAAATGAGGCGGAAAAAACAGTCACAGAAGAGTGAGCGAGCAGCTCTGAAATGGAAAGATGCTCGTCATCAGCAGAAAGGGCGCTCCTTGGAGTCATTCACTGAAGATGTTCATGAGGCTCTACAAGGTGAGTGATTGTTACCCTAGAAAGACTAGGTCTGCCTAAGTCTAGACACTGTTCCTGTAACTAGGAGGCTATTTCATTCCATCTCTGTCTGTGAAACAGGATACAGGAAAATCTCATCTGATAAGGATTCTGTCTCACTTTTAATCATGACTGTGTATATGTTTGTGTTAATAGTGTCATAACATTATTTTCACTGATAGTACTATGATCAATGCTCCTGTTTAGATTGAACTGTAGGATGCTTGCTTCCTTACTTCCTGGTTGAAAACTCATTAGAACAGTGGAACACAATCAGTACATTAACTAGACTGAAAATGAAAATTCTCTGAACTTGCTGTTTAATATTTACCCAATGTTGGCAATTTTGAGATTCCTGTAAACATCCTTCAGCCTGAAAAGCCATCTTAACTGTTGATTGAGCTTACGTTTGTTTGTTCTGTAACCTATGGGAATGATTGATTTGCAGCTGTTGATAATGGGATTTCTGAGGATGGGTCGTGTTCCACATTCCAGTTCCCGTGTCCACTGGCCATGTGGGAACTAGGACACTGTGACACAAAACGGTGTACAGGCAGGAAGCTTGCTCGCAAAGGGTTTGTCCGCAACTTGCGTATCAGTGAGAGATTCAGTGGACTAATTCTGACTCCCATGGGAACCAGATACGTCTCCCCTACTGATAGGTAAGCAAAATGTTGAATAAAATAAAAGTTGTTAAAAATAAGAATTTGGATTGAGAAAGAGGAAAGAGTATGTTAGCTAGAAATCTGTTACAAAATTAATATTAAATTAAAATAAAATGTTTTGTATGTATATGAATAAATTCTAATTCATTCATAATTTGTAATGGCACAACACTCCCAGGGCAGGTATGAAATAGAATGAAATAGAACAAGTATTGAATTAAACTCGATCTGCAGTGTCCTAGTGAACACTCCCGCAACAGGTACAGCATGCATTAGGTAAAGAGTAAAATCCTTTTCTGCCCAAAATTAAAAGCCGTTTCTATTTGAGTCCTTCTGCTTGGGATTGTTCCTGGTGACAGGAAGCTGATGAGTAAGGAATGCAAGTAATGTTGTTTTGATGTTTTTGAATGGATGCACACTTTTCCTACAGAGAGATCGTGACACAGGGTGGTGTGGCTGTCATCGATTGCTCCTGGGCTAAACTGGGTGACACCCCATTCACAAAAATGAAGGGAAGATATCCCAGACTATTACCTTATCTCATTGCTGCTAACCCAGTGAATTATGGACGGCCCTGCAAGCTTTCCTGTGTTGAGGCATTTGCTGCCACTTTCTGTATTGTAGGTAAGTTTGGTGTGGTGTGGTGACTGAGATCAGAATGTGTTGTGCAGTCGGTAGTTCTTTATTTTGAAAGGTTCTCTCCATTTGTCACTGAATTATAATGACTGTTGATTTTATGGCATCCAGCAATACGCCTACATCCTCCTGCCTTTTGCATTTTATTAGTAAGTACAGGTAGGAAGACTAAACTGTTAGACTGTGGGGAAAAAATAACAGCTCAATCTAATCTTCTCATTTTCTGCCTTTTTTGTGCATGAAAATTTGAGGCTGGGTGGGGCCAGGACAGGGTAACAGCCCTAGGGTGGGTTTGAAGGAAATCTCAAGTGGGAGAGGTTGATCCATGTTTATCACAGTGTCTGATTCTAATAGGGTTTCCGGAGCTGGCAGAGGTTCTGTTAAAGAAATTCAAATGGGGGAAAACATTTCTGCAGCTGAATCAAGCATTGCTGGAGAAGTATCGTGCATCCAGGAGTGAAGCAGAGGTGCTACAGGTTGAACAGGAGTGGCTGGCTACAGTGAGAGAACCAGAGGAGCAGGAGGGTAAAATTTCATCTTGTACCTAACTTATCCTGAAGTATTTGTTCCTTGTCAGATGCCCTTACTTAAGAGGCCCTTCCATTTTGAACTTAGACTGAACATTGGCGGGGTATTTAAGCTTGATTCTGTTCTAGAAGATGTTGCTTGGCTTACGATGAAGATCAGAAAGCCTATGTGTAACCTGGAACCCAATGAAAATAGTTAATTTCAGGAGTATGGTCTGAATATAAAGTGAATAAACGGTTGAAGTTCTGTTTTGTCCTCTAATTACAGAAGATTTAATTTTTCAGATCCATTTGATGTTGATTCGGGAAAAGAATTCTGTAATCCCAATAGACCCAACCTTGGAAGGTAAAATCTCCGTGTTTGTACATTGTTTATTTTTACTTTAAGTTACATTTTCACCATCAAATATTGAGAAAACCAAAGCCACCTTATTCGGCTCCCACTAATAATTCTTCAACCCCAATCTCACCAATCTGCTTGGCAGCTTCATTATGTCTTTGATGTTTACAGTGACTTGAATATCCTGTTGAATATGGAACTTTTATAGAATTTGCAAAAGTAAAATACTGCGGATGCTGGAAATCTGAAATCTAAACAAAAAATACTGCAAATATTCAGCAGGTCAAGGAGCATTTGTGAAGAGAAACTGTTAACATTTCAGATTGATGGCCTTCCATCGGATTTATGTTCTCAAAAAGGGTCAGTGATTTGAAATATTAATTCTGTTCCTTTCCATAAATGCTACCTGAGTATTTCTGGCATTTATTATAGAATGATTACAATGGGGAAGGAGGCCTTTTGGCTTGTTTTTCTGGCTCTCTACAAGATCGACTCAGCTAGTCCCTCTTCTTCACTTCCCCTGCAAAACTTGCAATTGTCTTTCTCTTCAAGTATGTATTTATTATCCTTTTTAAAGCCACAGTTGAATATGCCATCACCACACTCTGAGGCAGTATGTTCTAGATCCTAATCATTTATTGGATTAAAAATAAAAGCTTTTCCTCATGTCTTCCTTTGCTATATATTGGTGTCCTCTGGTTCTCAACCCTTCCACCAATAAGAATAATTTCTCTGTGTTCACTTTCTTTAACACACATTTTGACCACCTCCTACCAATGTCCTCTAAATCTTCTCTTCACTGAGAAGACCAAGTCCAATTCCAGCTTCTCCAATGTATGCACATAACTGAATTCTCTCATCCTTGGAACAATTTCCATTTTATTTTCTGCATCCTCTCTAAAGCATTCATATCCTTCCTAAAGTCAGATGTCTGGAATTGTACACAGTAGTCCAGTTAAGGCTGAAGTTGTGCTTTACAAAGGTTCATTGTAGCTTTCTTACTTTTGAATTCTATTCTCATAATTATAAAGCCTAAGATCACCTATGCCTTTTTTAACTGCTTTCTCAACCTGCTTTGTCACCTTCAACAATATATGTGCACGTTTCCAGGTCACTAACCACAAAAAGTAGCTTTCTTGTAGATAATGGTCACCAACTACTTTGGTATCTGATAGAAAAACATCAGAGGTGGTCAAAAGCATGGTCAAAGTTGAAGGGATAGGGATGTGAAGGGTTTAGGCAGCAGATTTTAGTACAGACGGCTGAAGGTACTGAGTTGTTTGGGGACTGAAGACAGTATTTCCAGACTTGTCAATATTTAGTTGGAGGAACTGAAAGAACTGTGGATGCTGTAAATCAGCAACAAAACAGAAGTTGCTGGAAAAGCTTAGCAGGTCTGGCAGCATCTGAGGAGAAATCAGAGGAAAGGTCACTGGACCCAAAATGTTAACTCCGATTTCTCTTCACAGATGCTGCCAGACCTGCTGAGCTTTTGGAGCAACTTCTGTTTTTGTTCTTTAGTTGGAGGAAGTTACGGTCCATCCCAAGACTTTATATGGGACAAGCAATCTGACGATACTGAGACAGTGAAGGAGCTGAAACTGGTAGATTGGGTGTTGTCAGTTTACATGTGAATCCAAGTGTGAGAAGAGAGAGAGTTGGTGAAGATGGTTTGGTAAAATTCTGGTCAGGAAAACAAATGTGGGGAGTCTTACCAAGCTGAATAGTGGGAGGTGTCATTGGTGCAGGAGGTTGGCATGATCAAATGTGTCAGAGAGTTCGGAGAGGACGCTGTCACAGAACATTATTTGAGAGTTCAATTTAAGCCTGTTTCTGCTTGGTGTAGGATGGATGCTTGTTTGGAAAAACTCAAATGTGGTTGTGGGCAGATGGTTGTAGTTTGGCCACATTTAGTGTTCCCATGGCCTTAGCCTGCCTACTCACTACAATCTACAGCTTAATACACTTACCAGACTCCCAGTCCAAGCTGCTGCTCTTCTTCCCCTCACTGGCTCCACAACCAGGTACCTTCCTCCATGGGCTTAGCCCTTACCTCTGGAGAACTCTCTTTACCTTTGATTTTGCTTCCTTCTTAAATCTGACCATTTCAATCATGCACTTTGTCAACTCTGCTAATTCTTCTACTATGGGCTGTTCTCTCCAGTAGAATGCTTTATACTATAATGGGTTTAGAAACGTAAGTGTTTCATGTCCTGGGAAAAATTTAATAAACAAGATCAGTCTTGTGCTGCAGTGTTGCTAACCTCCTGTTAGTGGTGCTATGACAGCACGGCCAGCAGGTTTCCAGTGGCATTGTAACTCTTTACAAAATGAGAGTACAAAATTTGGGACTTGAGTTTTCCTAGAAGACAACTTATTCAGAGTGGAATCAAATTGAATAGCTCCATCAGTCACATACTTTTAAATACAAAACTGGTGAAGCCTGTATTTTGTAGAAGTGAGGTTCCTGTGTCTATTCTGTTAGGTAGAGGGGTTGATGGACATGGTTCATCACATTGTGCTCAAGCTGTATGGTGCTAGTGTTGTTGTGTTCAACAATCTACAGTGTTAATTACTTGACCAGAAGTCAGGTGAAGTTACAGGTACAACTATGTGCTGTTGTCTTGGTACAGCAGAAGTTATCAATGAGTTTCACTTTACCTTATAAAGCTATTTAAAGGTTGCATTGTGCCTTCTGGTTGGCAGCATAAATTAACCTTTCCTTTTTACACTAATGTACCTCAAGCCCCTTGTCCTAAGCACAAATCAATGATGTTGTTTGATATGTAGATGATCACAAATGCTTTTGAAATTGTGTAGTAATTGGAAACAATTTTCTGCAGCAAGCACAATACAACATCAGGCACATTTTGTACGTTCTAATCTTAGAACTCCAGTCCTTTAACCTTACAGTTTAACAAATTTAAAGAGATAAGGATAGACCAGGATGTGTTCAGGAACAAGTGCAAAGTTGTTTCACTTCTTTTCGTCTTTAAATTTTCAATAATGGGAAACTGGTGTCAATTATGAGTTTGTCAATTGTTTTCTCTCCTGTAAAAGCTTAGCAGCTCTGGTAGATTTTCACCACTCAAAATTGCATTTATCTCAGAGAAACATTGTTTTAGACTGACCATGAGGATGAAGAATTTAAATTTTGTACACTGTCCAATTAACGAAAGGCTTCAGTACAGAGTAGAAGTTTTACTGTTCCATTAAACACACTGAAGGTATGTACAGCACAGGTTAAATAAGATAACAGTGGGTGATATTAATCTTAAGATAGTGCCTGACCTACTGCATTTTTCCATCATTTTATGTTTTCATTGCAGAATTTGAAGCTTTCACAGTTCTTTTTATAATTTATTTCTTGTCCTGTTATCTAGAGTCGTGGAGACAAAAGATGATATTAGTGATGATGATGATGAGTCTGAGCGGGAAGATGAAGATAGTGAATCTGATGAGGAGAGTACAGCAGAAGTTCCTGGTCTAAAAGGAGACCACACAGCATGCAAAAGGAGGAATCAACAATAAAAGCCATCAGCAGTGCAAAGGTTTGAAGCTGAATGTAATGGGGAAGCAATAGTCTTCCCTGTTTATGGACCTTCTTTCTAAAAAAAATGATACATAATAAAATTATTTATAAGTAGGATCTGTATAGAATGCAATGCTTAACTCAGTAGAACAGAAGAACTTGGATATTTAGCTTTCACAAACACCGATATTCCAAAGGGAATAACATTCAGTGGAATACTTCTGAAGTATAGTCACTGTTGTAATGTGGGAAATGAGGCACATGCCAGGATTCCATAATAAGAGATAATGACCAGGTAATATTCTTTTTAATGATTATGCCATTCATGTTTTCTAATATCTTTCCCAGTCTCATCCCATTCATCTAAATTCCATGTTCCAGATATTTTACATTTGTAGTAAACGAACGTGGTCCCAACAAAGATGTTGTGGACCATCCTAGGAAATATATAAAGCAAAGAAAGTCTGATCTTTAAATAGCACATCTTGAAAAAGATCTTGCAGCACCTCGTGTACAATGAACTATTGAAAGTACAGTTGCTTATGTAGCCATTTTAGCACACATCAAGACTCCTTGAGCAATGCACTGAATGACCAGTTAAAGATAAATGTTGGCCAGGCAGTGGGAAGAGTTACTATTCTAATGATATGGTTATTGGACTGAACTGAACAGACAGGACCTTAGTTTTAAGTCTCATTGGGAAAACAAAACGAGAGAATGTCTCACTTTGTGTTATTCTTTTAAATGTTTTCAAAACTATAAATTACAAAAAAATTGACACCAAGACAAAATTATTACAATTTTGCAACATTTCTCTGTACTACTTACAAGAACAAAGACAGGGGTCATAAAACTTCATTTAAAAAAAAACATTCAAAAAGCAGGATTGCTTCTTGTAACAAATAGAAGTATGAAGAAATTGCGGGACAAGAGTGACCACTGCAGCACAAGATCCATATCACAACGATGGTGAGGTGAGTTGGCACAAGATCTGTGTCACCACAGTGAGAGGTCCAGCACAGCATGTGAATTACGGTGCGCAGCTTCAGCACTGGATCAGTATCACCACGACAACGAGGTTACAGCACTGAATCAATATCACCACAATGATGAGGAGCTCCACATTAGCTCCAGAATTGCACAAGTTTGAGGAGCTACATTACAACTTCAGTATTTCAATATTGGTGACAGTGAGAAGCCACAGTACCAGATCAATAATGTTCCAATGCTGAGGAGCTCCTGCATAGCTTTACTATTATCACAACAAAGCACCACTCCAACACTTGATGTTCTGAAATTCTGAATGTTAATGTATATTCACATATTGCAATCGCTTTTTCCAAATTGGCTTGAATTTAATCCGGAGACACTTCTAGCTCCTTCATCTTCTTAACAAAGTCCTGTGCTTCTCTGTCAGCAGTCCGGCCCTCCAGCATCTTCATGATTGGTTTCATTACTGCAAAAATAAACATCTTTAAAAGACAGCACTGTGTATCCTTGGATTTTGTGTATTACAAGAGGTAGTAACTGCATTATAAGGACAGAAATATTACAAACGTGATTCCATGATACCTCTGATCTTGTTAAATTTGGAGAACAAAAACCAGACAGGATGTTATCTGGTAAATCCTGCTGGAGGGACAGGCATTAATGAGGACAGAATCTGATTCAGGTTTGACCCTCCCCCCAATTGTCAAATCATCTGATGATACTGTCTGTATAATAAAAGCCATTGGAGGATGGTGATGATGTTTGATTGGATGGGGTGTGGTGTTGAGTAAGTGATGAGATGAATCATAGCCTGACAAGCTGCCACCTACAGGGGAGAAGTTCAGATTTTATTTAAAGAGCTGAAATTGGCATTTGGGCCAGATACAAATCATTACTATGTTTTACTGACAAAACCATTAATTATCTATTAGTCAATCTTATGTAGAACTGCACACAGCCCATGAAGCCTATGCGTAGTCTTTGGGTGATGTGGGTTAGCAGTCAGGGATTTTTGGACCAGTACATACAGACATCCAATCTTCGTGTTCAAATCAGGCTGGGAATTCTCTTGGGAGTGCCTTCCCCCCCCCCCCCCCCCTCAGTTTCACCAGGGTAAGCTTAATATAAAGAGGGTTACTGGCAAAGGTATAATGATGCAGCGGGACAAACTGCTGAAAATGAACCCTGTTCAATGCTTATGAACAAGTCCTCTATCAACATTTTCAATGAAACTCTGTCAGTATCTTGTAAACTATATGTTTTAAACTACATCATCACCGCCACTGGTAGGTGGGTGAACCTACAGTCTGACATAAGTGGTGTCAAATTTAAAGATGGGCAATTTTTTTTGTGTGAAAGAAGACATCAACTTGAATTTCATGCAGTTGTAATTTTAGAGCTATTACTATATATAGATAGTGAAGTTTTATTTTTACCGTGGGGTTCAGGATGCGTCAGTTTCAGAAATACTGGGGAAACATTTTTTATTCCTCCAGCAATGGCAGATTTATTGAACCCAGGAACTTCTTGCAGCTGCAACACAGCCTCTCCTGCAAAGTCGTTGGTGGAGAGCCAGTCGTGGTCCATGACTGTGAAGTGAATGCAGGCGGTGCTGTTACTGCACTGCTCTCGTGTTACAGTGCTGAAAGAGATAAAGCAGATTGCAATACAACGTATATATTGTTAATGAAAGAGAATACAATACATAGAGACTCAGACAAACGTGAGTGATCAGTAAACTACTGAAGACCAGGAGGGTTATAAGAGATTGTTTAAGTGACAGCGCCTGGAACAGGTGTGAGATCAACCAACTCGATTACAAACTCTGTCCCTGTCCAGTGGTTACTCCATTATCTATACTATCATGGTCTGATGTATCTGCAACAGATCAGTTGGTGAGGCTAAGATTTTTCCCTCTAATTGTGTCTCTGACCATCTGCTGCAGGTTCTGCATGGCAGATGTGTCCTCTAGGACTGATTTGTCAGCTGAGAAAAAATAAGATAAGACCATAAGTCAATAAGAAACAGGAACAAGGGTAAGCCATTCAGCCCCTTGAGCCTCTTCCACTGATCATTAGGATCATGGCTGATCTGACATTCCTCGTATCCACTTTACCACATTTTCCCCTTAACCTTTGATTGTCCTATTGCTCAAGAATCTATCTCAGTCTTAAATATGCACAAAATATTCCAAAGGGAATTTAGAAACCGCTGTGTGCTCTATTTTACACAGACAAGGCTCACTCCTGCTACACCTGACTGCATCTTTTAACCTGAGGGTTTCTCAGTCACTGCATGGACTGTTTAGCGTCGTCAGCAAGGCAACAGAAGGTGGGGTCTGCCTCCTAATCAACACCTCCTGCTGCTCAGACATGGTGATCCTGGTGAGTTACTGTTCCCTGGACCTGGAATATCTTACAGTAAGGTGCCATTCCTACTACGTATTGCACAAGTTTACCTCTGCTTCCTGTGAGCAGTCTACATCCCACCTCGTGGAAGTGAAGAGTGCACTTGATGTAGTGTACAATGCTACAGTCTTGAGATGGAATACCCCAAGGCCTTGTTCATCATAGCTGGTGGCTTCAACCAGGCCAACCTCAAGAATATGCTACCAAAATAATATCAACATATCTTATGTCCCACCAGAGGTCTGAACATCCTTGACCATTGCTATACAACCATCAAAGATGCTTAACAATCCACCCCTGTCTGCATTTGGAAAATCAGATCACAACACTGTGCTCCTCCTCCCGAATTACAAGCAGAAATTGAAGCATGAAGACCCAGTACAGAAGGTAGTGCAGTGTTGGTCTGAGGCAACGGGAGGGCTTCTACGGGCAACTGGGCCAAGAACTCAGTGGCTGACCTAAACGAGTAAGCCACTACCATTACAGACTTCATTAGTAAGTGTGTGGAAGACTAAGTGCTGAAGAAGTTTATCCAAATGTTCCCCAACCGAAAGCCATGGACGAACCAGGAGATCCACTCCCTACTAAAGTCCAGGTCTGAGGTGTTCAAGTCGGGCAACCCTGACCTATACAAGAAATCCAGGTACGACCTTCGTAAGGCCAGAAATTACAAGAGGCAGTACCAAACTAAGCTTGAGACCCAGATCAACCACACAGACACCCATCATTTGTAACAAGGCTTACATGATATAATAGTCTACAAAACAAAGTCAAACAGGATCATGGGCAACAGTATCCAGATGAGCTCAATGCATTCTACACTTACTTTGAACAGAAGGTCAGTGAAGTGATATCACTTGTCCCATCAACTTCAGTTGCACCTGTACCCACGGTCACAGATAGGCCTACATGAGAGTGAACCCACAGAAAGTGACTGGCCTGGATGGAGTCTCTGGCTGTGCAGTCAGCTCCTGTGGGACCAGCTGGCAGGAGTATTTGCAGACATGCTTAACCTCACCTTACTACGATCTGAAGTCCCCACCTACTTCACGAAGACCATCATCCCGATGCCAAAGAAAAATCATTCAGCATGCCTTATTGACTACCACCCGGTGGCTCTGACGTCCATAATTTTAAAGTGCTTTGAGTGGTTAGTCATGGCTCACATCAGCCTACCAAATTGCCTTGATCCTTTGCAATTCTCCTACCGGTGCAACAGATCCATGGTAGACGTCATCCCCCTGGCCTTTCATTCATCCCTGGAACATCTGAATAATATGTCAGGTTCCTACTTATTGACTACAGCTCTGCCTTCAACACCATAATTCCAAACAAACTCATCTCTAAACTCTTGGCTCTAACACGCAAGCCTTCCATCCACCGACTCCATCTATACTTCCCGCTGTCTCGGTAAAGAAACTAACATAATCAAAGACCCTTCCCACCCTGGTTACTCCTCTGTTGGGCAGAAGATAAAAGTTTGAACAGATTCAACAACAGCTTCTTCCCCACTGTTATCAGACTTTTGAATGGACCTCTCAAATGTTACTTCTGATCTCTCTGTCTGCATCTTCTCTGCAGCTGTAACACTGTAGCTCTCTGTTCTGCTACCCTGATGCACGTTGGATGGTATAATCCGCCTGTTCAAGCATGCAAAATAACACTTTTCAGGACAAGCTGGAAGAACAGCACCTCATTTTCCGCTTGGGGACCGAGTCTGGAAGATTGCAATATCGAGTTCAATAAGTTTAGGGTTTAAGCTCTCCCATGTCCTTACCCCAGACAATTTTCCATGCTGACTCTGCTTGCTTAGATTATGATTTTTAAAATGTTCTGCTATTACTTCCTTAGTAATTGATTCTGAAAATTTTCCAACAATTGATGTTAGGCTAATCTGTTCTATTACCCTGATGTATTTATCCAAGGTGTAATTTGTCTGGATAGCACACAAAACAATACTTTTCACTGTATCTCGGTACATGTGAATAATAAATCAAATCAAATCAACCTTTGTGAATAGGGGTGTCACATTGGCAATTTTCCAATCTTCCAATCCAAAGGTTTTGTAAAATTACAACCAATGCATCCACTATCTCTGTAGATGCTTCTTTCAGTGCCTTCAGATGCAAGCCATCAGGGCCAGGGGACTTAACAGCCTTTAGCCCCATTATCTAATACTACTTCTTTAGTTAATGCCTCCCCCATATTCCTTAGTATTAATGGGATATTTGAAGTATCTTCCACCATGAAGACTGATGCAAAATATCTGTTTAACTCCTCTGCCAGTTCCTTTTTCCCTATAACTCACCAGATTCTTTTTCTAAGGGACCAATGTTCACTTTGACCTCTCTCTTGGAAATCAGGAGGTTTCTTCGCTCATGTTTGACACAATACCATGCAATCAATCGTCAATGTTGAAGACTCCTTCCTAACTGTATTCCAACTTGCCACCAACTTTAAGAGTTTGTCCTGTTGGTGAAACTAGACATATCCTGAGATGCTAATGGAAATGTCTGGAACATTGGCTGTTAACTGTGATTTATAGTGTCATAGAGGCCACAGTAAAAGGCCCTTCGGCCCATCGCACCTGCACCAGTCAAAAACAACCATCTAATTATTCTAATCCCATCTTTCAGCACTTGGCCCATACCCTTCAATGCCTTGATAACACAAATGCACACCTAAATACTTACTAAATGTTGAGAGTTTTCGCCTATTCCTCACAACCCCTTTCAACCTTCAGCCCTTACCTTAAATCTGTACCCCATGGTCATTGATCTCTCCATTATTGGGGAAATGTTTCTTCCTGGCTACCTTAACCATAATTCATAACTTTATACATCTTAGTCATGTCCCCTCTCAATCTTCTCTGCTGTAAAGAAAAACCCAATTGTTTTTATAACTAAAACTCTCCAGCCCAGGAAACATCCTGGTAAATCTCCTCCGCACCCTGTCCAGTGCAATCACATCCTCTTATAATGCGCACACAAAACTCTAGGTGTGGCCTACCCAATGTTTTATATACTTTCAGCATAACATCCCTGCTCTTAAATACCATGTCTCTACTAATAAAATTAAGTATACCTTATGCTTTCTTAACCACCGTCCTGTACTGATAGCTTAAGAGACTGGTGTACATGATTTGGTGAGTATGATTGTGTCAGGCTGCTTCTTTGCTAGACTGTGGCCAGATGTCACAGATCATAGAATCCCTACAGTGTGGAAACAGGCCCTTTGGCCCAACAAGTCCACACAGACCCTCAGAGCATCCCACCCAGAACCCATCCCCCTAACCTACACATCCCTGAACACTACAGGCAATTTAGCATGGCCAGTCCACCTAGCCTGCACATCTTTAGACTGTGGGAGGAAACTGGAGCACCCAGAGGAAACCCACACAGATATGGGGAGAATGTGCAAACTCCACACAGACAGTCGCCTGAGGGTAGAATCGAACCCAGGTCTCTGATTCTGTGAGGCAGCAGTGCTAACCACTGAGCCACCGTGCTGCCCTAAATGAGGAGAACTTGGTTGATTGATTCAGCACAGAATGCATTTGTGATTTCCAGGTGGTCCATCTGCTTTTTTAAAAAAAAAACTTTTCTGTAGTAGCTTGGTACAACAGAGTGGCTTGCTGGGCCATTTCGGAGGACATTTAAGAATTGACCTCATTGCTGTGGATCTGAAGCCATGTGTAGGCCAGACTAGGTAAGGATATCAGATTTCTCTCCCTAAAAGACATTAATGAACCAGATGGATTTTTAATGATGATCCAGTAGTTTCATGGTCAATATTGCTGACACTGGCTTTCTGTTCCAGAATTTATTAATTTTAAATTCCTTTGTGATGGGATTGAACTTAAATGCAGTAGTTTGGACTTGTGGATTACTAGTGCAGTCACATTACACTGTACCACATCTGCCAAATTGTGAAATATCCCCAAGATACTTCAGTAATAAAGAATGAAGAATAAAGTATAAAGAATATCAGGAAGGAACTAAATCTGGGAATGTTTGATAGGCAATAAATTCAGCACTTCAGGTAATGAAATAAAAGTACTGACAAGTTGAACAGTTCATCGTAGATCGGATGTAGTGTTTTATTCTTGACTTGTGTTTGCTGGCTCTTTGCCCCTGGGAAGAAGTGGAGAGGAGCAAGTTTGATAATGACGAAAGGATCACTGAGACCTGTTAACACAGAATAAAAAAAATTGTTGGGCTTCTAACATCATTCACTTAAGCCTAACCAAGAACAGACTGCAGATAACTAGGGGAATTGCAGAATTTAATATTGTAGTTTGCCATATGTGTGAATAGTTCTCTAGTATACATTTGAGATGTGCAATTTGTGATCATATTTGATGGCTTGAACTTGGTCATACAACTCAATAGGAGCATTCCTAAAACAAGCACGACCCTTGTGTGAATATTTAAGTCAGGGTCCAATGCACTGTGGCTGAATCTGTGGTTCTTAGACCCAGCAAGGCACTCCAAAAGATCAATTTTTGCACAGCAAAGTCTCATAAATAGTACTAAGCGACTACATAATTCTAATTCTTTTCTACTCCCTTTCCCATTTCTTTGATTGAACCAATGTATACATCCACCTCTTACTTTTCATGTTTAAAGAAGCATTATGTGCAATGCATTAACATGTCTATTTCTGCATTGATGCTGACTTTTTTACTGATTTGGATATGGCACGCAATAAATGAAACACAGGTGCTGATAAATATTGCAGTCTCACCATTTGCATCCAAGGCAATCAGGTTTGTAGCATGCAAGACCTCAACAGACAGCTTGGATTCAGCAGCCTCATAGTGACATTTGATGCACAGCATCCCATACAGGCTAGGGTCAGTGGACTTCTGAGAAGGAAAGTACAGTTACCTTGAATAAAGTGAATTTATTATTTCCCTCATCTTCTTCCCAAGTTCTAAGTTCATGCCACGTATCTGTCACCTTGGCTCATTAAATCTAAACTCCAAATTTTACAGCCCATCTTGCTCTGGCACACTAGACAGAAAAAATAAATCACCTTCAACTCACAGTTAGACATGCTCAGAGAGGCCCAGGATGATTGTTGTAAGAAGTAGGAAAATTATGTAATGTGCAGAGCATGGAACACAACTGGCAATGGGACTAAGGTCTCATATTTGAATAATTGGAGGGAACTTGCTCAATATCTAACCTGTGCTATATCTGTCTCAACAGTATTTGATAGAATAGTGTGGAGGGAACTTTATATCTAACCTGTGGTGTACCTACTCTGGAAGTGTTTACTGAAATTATTTTCCCGAAATGAGGCTATCTGTTTCCCAGAACTAATAATGATTAACATAACATGCACCAGAAACAAACAAGTGAACATTGTTTTTTGGAATTGGTTGGAATGGACACAGTACCTGTTGGCGGATTTTGGCCTGGTAACAGTATTCAACCAGCTCCTGCGTTGAGCATCTATTTAGACGCAGCTCTTCCTTCAGACCCTGTGAAATCAGTCATCAAAAAGATAGGGTTTACACTGTCTGCTACACAGAATCCCAAAGTACTGCAGTGCTTTGATAAGAAAATCCATAAATGTCCAACTTTGTATACTAATATATAGCAAACGGGAGCAGAAGTTTAATGAGAAGCACAAAGCATTGACTAAGAAACCACTGAAGTTAGTTTGAGATGTACTAAGCAGTGAGAGTTGGGGAAGAAATTCAAATGGGTCAGACACCAAGAAAATTCTGCAACCCGTTGTGTAGGAAGCGGGGGAGAGGGACAAAGGAAGAGGGAGGAATGGAGAGTGGGAAAACAGTACAGGAGGCCAGAGGGAGGAACAGAATGATACTTTCTTAACCCTTATGCAATTCCACCTGGTAACATAACAAGAAATATCAGTGCAGAAGAGAGTGTTTGGCCCAATGTTACTGGTTCTTCTTTCACATCAGGGGTCCATACTCTGGTCCTGTTTCTCAGTCTTTTTTCCTAACACTTTCATATTTTTCCTCTGGTGAGTGATTCTCTGATTACCTCTGTGACTGACTCAGCTTCCAGCATATTGGAGAAAAGGCTCCCCTTTTCCAGTCACCCTTACTGTCAAACAATTACACTTCCAGCTCAAATCTTGAGGTTTCTCCTGTTAATGACTCACTGAAAAGAATCTTTTGCTGTTCACCTTTGAAGATTCATTTGATGTCCCCATAACTTTCTAAACTTTGGTTAAGTACTTTCTAGAAGATCCCAGGAATCAGTTTAGTAGTGAGTGTGCAATCAGTTCTTTTTACCTTATACTTGTCATTCTGCAAGCTATCAAGTGGCAATCCCTGTCCCTCTGCGTGGAAAAACACCACAAGAGCCTAAAGAGAAACAGAATTCAAAATTCCAGAAATGCAAAGCGTCTAAACATCACATTAACCAGTTTACACAACAGTTGAAGACTACTACTGAAGATGTGATCAAATTATTTACAAGAACCTAACACCTTTGATTCCTTGGAAACTTTAATGAACTAATTCAGTAAACATAAGAAGTTAAGAACAAAGTTTGATAATGCATATTTTAAATGCTTTGCTGGAGGGTCTGCGTTCTTGACTGTTTTCTGAGCCACTCTCTTGACTTAATTGGTGACATTCCTGCCCCAATTAAGCCTATAGTCTATGCTAATCCTTCAAGTACTGAGAAAATGTTGCTCTCAGAGATGTCCAGGATGTTAAAGCAAGTTCAAATTGGTGTAAAGGCCCAAAAGGACTATTGTAAGGAAAACCAGAGTTCTGATGTACTGATCAACATTCCACCCTCTTCAAACATTACAGATTGTGGTTACTCAACATAAATCTTGTTGAACAAGAGGGAAGTCCTTTGAGACATCCAGGATAAATGACAACCTATCATGTTTCTGCATGATATAAAAAGGGAGAGACTGGGAATAGGAGGGTGGGAATCTTAGGGTGGCTTTGTATCAATAGGAGTTCTTTTATGTCTAAACATGCAAAGTTTTGCTTCACTTTTTGTAGTTCTTGGGAATTTGGGTACAATAGAACACAAGTCACATGTAATCAAATTGAAAGCATCATCAGCAATGATGAGTAACTAGCTAAACAATGATTTAACTAGCACAACCAACATTCTTTGGATTAAACCAACAGTCAGTGATGGAATTTGTGTGAGAGAGAAGGTTTTTAGATAAAGCAGCAACATGTTAAGTGAGGATGAAGATGTGGGATTAAATGCTGCATGACGAGATTGGGAGGCTCCTCACAGGGAGACATGACACGGGTCTGGAAGACGCTACACGAGGAGAGAGAGAGATTACTGATGGGGAGACCACCAATTATATTTAAATTGTTCCCTCTCCATTGTTGAATGTTAAGTCTCCACAAATGGAGTCAGAGATAGGATGTGCTAGAAACAGGGAATGCTGGAGAAACTCAGCGGGTCTGGAAGCATCTCTAGAAAGAGAAACTGAGTTAATGTTTCAGATTTGAAGAAGAGTCATACCAGACTCAAAACATTAACTCTGTTTCTCTCTCCACAGATCCTGCCAGACCTGCTGAGTTTCTCCAGCATTCTCTGTTTTTTCAGATCTCCAGCATCTACAGTGTTTTACTTTTATTATAGGATGTGATAGAATGAATAAACTCAGGCAATGCATTGGAATTATAAGCACAAAGTGCGTAGTGTTATAATGTGGTGACTGGTAACCATGCCCTTTGCCCCTTTGTTCTAACCTCCAGTGTGAAGTGAAATCGCTCGTAGAATTCAGCGGACATTCCAGTATTTATAGCCAATGCCTCAATGATCAAATCCAACAAGAGTGTCCACAAAGCGCTCAATATCCTTGAGAAAGACAGAAGAGTTATTGGAAGTGAAGTCAGGGGAGAATGTGAACACTGAGCTGCAGGAGTAAAGTGACACATAACACAATTTTAATTCTGAAATTATCAAAATGAATTCTGTTCCCTTGAAGCTGCTTGTAATGCTTGTACTTCATGCAACAGTGACAAACCAGATTCAGCATGAGTATTAAGCTTCTCCACAGACTCGATGAGGAACTTTACACAAAGGCATAGCTTATGTTAAATACAAGATAAATCCTCCTCTATTCTGTCCAATAAAAACATGTACACTATGGATGCAAAGGAAAGCTATCTGTATACTGTTCTATCCAACACTTCTGGGGAGGTACAACTTGAGTTAGACATGGAGTAAATTTCCCTCTAAGCTGACTCATCAAATATTCACTGGGAAGGTACAACAGCATGTATTTATACAGTATCTTGAATGTAATTTACATCCAGAGATACTTCACAGAAGTGTTGAAAGGCAAAATCTGACAGAATGTATAAGATGATATTAAGGTAGATGGCCAAAGAATACAATGAAAGAGTTCTAATTAAAGACCACAACCTGATGTTTCTCTCTACAGATGCTGCTAGAAAATACTGAGAATTTACAGAATTTTCTGTTTGTATTAGGACTAAACAAAGTTCTGAATGACCTAAGATGGATAGAATTGGGGAGGCTTTTTGGGAATGCACTGGAATAGTCAAGTCTAGGGTTAACAAAGGGTGAGAATTCAGCAGCAGATGAGCTGAGACAGGGGTATGGTCCATTGATGATGCAGAGCTGGAAACTGGCAGAACTAGTGATGACTTATATATTTCTCGAAGCTTATCTCAGGGGTTAAACATGACACAAAGGCTCAGACTATTATCACAATTGAGAGTTTCTCACTTCCTGCAAATATTTCCGACAAGCACAAGTTCCATCTCCAAATGCACCATTTCTACTTTTCATGGAGGTGGTTTGGGGCACAACCCAAGTTACCACAGTCACAGTTCACTGAGACAGCTGGCCATTTAAATGATCAGTATTGTCCATTCAAATCCCATGTTGGTATCCTTGCTGTCTGGAATACGACTATGCAGAACAAACCAGATAAAAGCAAGTCTGTTTCAATAAATTTATTCTGGATATTCAGTTTATACCTTTTGAGAACTGAGGTACTCCTGTAGATATGATCCCAGGATGGAAAGATAGTTTCAGGTGTCCTTTGGGGTGGTCAGGTACCCTTGGAGTAGTGGGAGCTTGGGGGTTGGTCACCCTTTGGGATTGCTAATAATAGATGAGTCTGCCTGAAAGGTGCATAAACCCTTTTTAATTGTCAAACCAGTAAACATATTTCAAGCCATCAAAGATCTCTCTAATTAGTAAGGATGTGTAAAACTGTCAAAGAATGGTCAAGAGAACTATATATAAGCCTGAAGATTTCCATTACTGGATTTGTGTTGCATTACTGATTTTACCAGGATTAATTATTACAGTGGGGTGTCTTCAATTTCAAGTGGTTGTGAAGATGTGAGCCTGTGAATACCACAGCTTCTTGCAATCGAATGAAATATTTGCTTTTACAAGGCATTATTGAGGTGAAGAAATGTAAATGTAGATGTGTTTTTATGAATGTGAGTGTTTTTCTCAGTAAAGTAGAGACTGTTATACACACTTAGAAATTTAGTATTTATTCTCTGTGCATGGGTTTTGAAGTACGCCCATGATGGATTCCAGACAAGTTGGTATGGTTGATGAAAGAGCAAAAAGGTGGTGGTTGGAGCACATGGGCACTAAGTTGGCATAAGGGGCCAAAATGGTGAGTACAGGGGTGCAGATTAATATTAGGGCTATATAGAGTCAGGGTGGTAAGTACAGGGGCATAGAGAGTATGGAAGTCAATTTGGAGGGTGTAGAATGGCAGAGGGTAGTTTGGAGGTCTGAGATACTGGGGAATGTGTAGAGGGCATAGTAGGTCATGGAGTTTATAAGCTGGCATGGGATGGTAATGGATAGATGTGAAGAAGAGAGGGGATGTGAGGATGAGAGCAGGAGGGATGTTGTGGTTTCATTTGTTTTACTGTTTAAAATGAAATAGATAGACAATGCAGGGAGGCACAGTCACAACCAGCAGCTTCTGCTCTTGTTTCAGGGTCACGCTGCTTACCTCCCAGGGAACCCTGCTACCAAACATCCCATTTCTGTGTTTCCTACCCAGGATCAAAAATAGGGTCCCATGTTTGCAAATAGTCTAGCTCAGCCTCGACAGTGGTCAGAGTGGGGGAAGGAGTAGGAATAGAGTTTGAAGCAGATATCAAAATACAACAGCTTTGGTCTTCCCAGTATTTATTTTGAGGAATCTCTGTTCATCCAATACCAATGTCAGACAACAGGTGTGATAAGTTAAGCGAGAGTCAAGTGAGGTGCTTGTAAGAAAGAACTGGGTGTTATTAACATGAAAATCAAATCCAACACATTTCTGATGATGTCACCAGGGGGATACATGTAGGTGAGAAATAGAACATGGCAATGGATTGACTTTTGAGCCACACCAAAAAAACAGCGCAAGAACAGAAAGAGAAACCATTACAAGCTACAATTAGGTGGATAAGAATGGAACCATGTGAAAGCAGTGCTACTTAGTTGGATGACCATAAGGGGAACTGATGTTGTCAGCTGTGTCAAAGCCTGTAGAAAGATTGATGACAATGAGGGTGGCTAATTTACCTTTGTTACTGATGCATGAGATGTTATTGTGACTTTCATAAGAGCAATTCTGGTAAATGTTGGTAGGGACATAAACCCAACTGGAGGGATTTGAGCATGGAGTTCTTAAGAAAAATAGATATGGAAGTTGGACCTGAGATGGTAGCATGTTAGTGAGTTCAGGGTTTCATTTTGTTTTGGAGAGAGTTGATGATATTTGTACAGCAAAGTTTAGGTATAGGGTAAGGTTACCTCTATCCAATTAAATACTGTCAAGGCAGATATGACATGGATTAGATACGTTGTAAAGCCATCTCTAAATTAGTAATTCAGATACTTCTAGAGAGATAAAGTGTAAGTTACTTTACAGATTAAAGCTAACTCTACACTGTTGCATCAAGTTCTTCCAGAGCCAGTGCGGCGCTGGTTACATACGGCTAAAACTCAAGCCTATATAGTAGGGATTCTTTGTAGCACAGGTCCTACAAGAGACAGAACTTAAGGCCAAGTGAGATGTTGGTCCTGTTGAATTATACAATGCAACTTTCAACCACATCAGGACTACGTAAGGCTTATCTATAATCTTAGTTGCATATGAAGCTGGTGACCTCTTTTGCACTTTATCCATCTTTCTGTCACTAGATTGAATTTCAGCGATCTTTGACTTGTCCAAACTTACTTTCTGAGATTCTCCATCACCAGCCATTCGCTCAGGATTATTAGATTGTCATCTAAGAACTTCATAAGAGGACAGACAGCCTGCAATACAGAAACAGTTGTTATTGAACACATGTGATTTACACTGTCAAAAAAAAACCCTTCTAAAAATATTTCACAGGATGTTCCCAATCTGTGTCATTCGTCCCTGGAGGTTTTGTCTGATCCTGGGACATTGTACCATGAACAACAAATGGTATCATATGTCTCGATTAAACTGATCACGTACGTTTTATGTGTAGCTGTAACCATGTGCAACACTGAGCTATTCAAGAGTGAGAGTATCACCGTGATATTCTCATCCAATAGTGACAAACAAACTGGCAAAATCCATTAGAATCCTGTTCCATTCTCCCCTCTGGACCCAGGGAAATGGATATTCCTCCCCTTCTTAAAAGATCACTACTGGTTATAGATCAAACCCACGCCTATCCTAGTTAGTCATCCCTAGCCTTGCACTGTTGAAATTCACTGAGATCCTTCTCAGTACCAAGTGCTGGAGAGAGTGTCTGTCTGTTGTGATGATTCCCAAATCCTGTGTATAACTTTCTCCAAGGCACCTACCTCATCAGGCTGGATGGAGTCTGGTGACAGACTGATGTGCTGAATGTATTTTCGCAAGTCAGTTACCATCTGTAAAAAGCCAAACCCAGGAAACAACTTAGTACTAGACTGGAGGCTTGGAATTACATGCATTTGCCATCAATGTGCTTCCTGCCCTCCTGAAAATCATTCAGATCATTGGATTGTGTAGATGCAGGCCCAATCTTGGAACAAGCTGAATCCCACCAAAGCAAACCGATCTCCATCAGAGAAAATAGATAACCCCATCCCCGCGATCAATACCAGTCTCACCCAGAGTCATGCCATCCAAATGGAACTCATTACTGTGCGCAAAACACTCAGTACATGCTGTAATTACCTTCTCCACGAGTTGGTTGATCATATAATTAGACTGCCGCTGCATGCCTGCGTCAATGCTTTGTATTTGGGTGCCCAGTGCTCTCTGCACTTGCTGCTTCCCTTCCAGCCCACAGAGCCGCTCCATGGAAGCCTCCAATCCCTGCCAGTCTAATTCCTTCGGCAGCTTCCAGGTGTACGTGTGTACATGCTGAATGTTATTCAGCGCAATGCACAGCTAAGGGCATAGATAGAAAGCCACCATGACAGGGTGGAAAAACAAACAGCAAAGATGATAGAAAACATTATGTAACAGAATTGATGAAATGAGCACAAGTCTTGTCACAAGCATGACCTTGGAGTATCAGAAGTTATGCCATTCATGTCAATTTTCCAAGGAATGTGAAGAACCTTCGAGACAACTGGCAAGAACTAGATCTGCAGTGATTTTTTCCCTTACTTTGAAGTTGATGGAATGGAATTGCTCATTTTTAGTCTAACCTCATGGCTGACAGCAGCAAATCTGTTCAGTCTGATTTTCAATGTACCACTGGGAAGAACTGCAGTGTTCTGTACAATAATTCACTGTCCCACGACTTAATCTGGCAGCCAAACAGATATTTATCCAAATACTTAAAGGATATTTTCAAACACCACTTGAAAAATGGAGTAAAGAAGCATTCTTTGTTCAATGTACTTTCAGGTTTAATCCCAGTTACATTTTCCAGGTCTCAGGAAGCCCAGCAACTGAAGGGAGCTGAGGGCAGCCTTAGGATGAAGATTAGTGCCTTTAGCAGTACTGTTTGCAGATTAAAAATGCTTACTCCTGGCTCCTCGTTGTACATAGATCCCTGGGTTTTAAATTCAGACCACCCTTGTGCTGGAATTGGACTTGCACTGGATCAGAACCCCTAGTTAGGTCTGAGATTGAACCACTCCCAGGAGCAGAGCCCCTCCCTCTATGGGATTATGGATCAGCTGTTCGGACCAGCCTGCCCTGGAATCCTGTCAATCTGACCATAAGTTAAGTTTATAAATCAGACTACCTCTTGGGCATGGAACCAGGCCATGACAAAAGATGCACACTTTGGAGTTGGTTCATTAGGATTTTCAATGAGACTAAATGGAATGATACTTAGCACATTGGCATTCTATATAAGTGAATGGGAAGATATTTAGTTTATTGGAATACTTGATATTAAGACTGAATGGGAGGAGATTTAGTGCACTGGGCTTCTGTACAATAGGAGTGAATGGTAAGAAGTTTGACTCAGTGGGAACCTATCTGGATTCTGTGACCACAATTGGCTATAATATGTACTGTTCACGAGGATTCCTCAGAACTCACCTGTTGTGTAATTTTCTTCTGATCATCTGCTTTCTGTCTCACCTTTTCTGAGTACATCACAGCTGCATTACAAATATCCTAGAAGAAACCGTTGAAATATCTATTGATCCTGGGAATAAAAGTTGCAGGACATTTAAACTGGATACTGCAACTACTCTTACATTGCTGACGACACACATATTCATCACACAACCTGAATTGTTCATAAATTAAATATCAACACAATTTGGCTCAATACAACGTATCTAAGACTGAAAATATCCTGGTCACTTTGTGCTGGACGAAAAAGCAAATCGAAATGAAAGGAGAAAGGTTCCATGCAGGTTGTCCTCTAGCCAGCTATCCAGGGGTGAGAGGCATTAAAGAGCCATGAAATGGAAATGGACAATGAAGATTATCTAAGATTGGAAAGAGATCTTGACCAATTGGGTCAATGGGCTGAGGAGTGGCAGATGGAAT